CCTCCTTCTCCCTCTGACCCTTCCCCCTCTCATGTGCTCTCTCATTCTCTCTCTCTCAAATAAATAAATAAAATCTTTAAAAAAAAAAAAAAGAATTCAGCATGCCTAAGTGACCATGTATATATAAGTGATCATATATATGATACATACATACATATTACATACACACACAGAGCCATTAAAAAGAAGGAAATCTTGCCATTTATAACACTATGGACTGACCTTGAAGGTATTATGCTAACTAAGTCAGAAAGAGAAAAGACAAATACTGTATGATCCCATTTACATGTGATATCTAAAACAAACAAAAAAACAAGCTCATAGATACAGAGAACAAATCAGTGCCTGTCAGAGGCAGGACGTTGGGAGGTGAGGGATGGACGAAATGGGTGACGGGGGTCAAAAAGTACAAAGTTCCAGTTTCAGAATAAATAAGTCCTGGGCATGGTGAACTATAGTTTTAATAGTGTATTGTATATTTGAAAGTTGCTAAGAGAGTAGATCTTAAAATAACAAGAAAAAAATCTGTAATATGTGTAGTGATGTTACTTATTGTGATCATTTTCCAATATGTACAAATATTGACTCTGTTGTACACCTGAAACTGTTATGTCAATTATATGTGAATAAAAAAAATTTAGCAAGATATTTTAAAAAAAGAATTCAGCACGTCTATATGTATTATAGATGGAAAAGAGAGGTTTAAGTGGAATTTGGTTAAGAGGAACTTGATTAAATGGATGGCAGAGAGCATTTTTACTGTACACAATTCTATCTGACTTAAGCATTTTAGAAGCTGTTTTTATGTAACTTAATTATCCATTTCATTAATTGAATTTCTAAAGCACTGGTCTTCCAAGATTCTCTACTTGTTAACACTTTATTAATGTAGTCAACATCACTGAATACACTGAGAAGCAACTACATGTACAAGTCTTGTGGTAGAACAGCTTCCAAAATGGTCCCCAATAATCCTGACCTCCCAGTAGTCACATCCTTGTGT